TATTTCTTTGAAAATTCCTACCATTTTTTTAGAATCACTAAAATGAGAAACTTCGATTTTTAGAATGTTTTAAAAATCCGAATTTGAAATTCAATTTTTGTAAATCTTGGTCTGGAGCGATCAACAGACTAAATTATTCGTTTCAACTTGTCACGATATATATATCCAAAGATTTTTTCTGGATTTTTAAGTAACTTCGTCAAAAGCTCAATTTTTCAAAAGCTTGAAATTTTCGACAATTTCCTGAGCACTTTTGAAAATTATTTAAAGAGTTTCTTTGGTTGATATTAACCTCCGGGAGTGTTTTTTGGGTTAATTTCTTCGAAAATTTCTACAATTTTCCTAGAATCGCCAAAATGACATATCATAATATTTGAAATATTTTCAAAAATTGACCGGATTTGAAAAATTATAATTTCGAAAAGCTTGGTCAGCGACCATTAACAGGGTATATTTTTCAATCCAAATTGTCTACATTACAGACTTTTTTTATGAATTTTTAACCAATTTCGCCAAAAGCTCAGTTTTCCAATATATGAAATCCATGAAATTTTTACATTTTCCTGAGCACCATTCAAAATTATTTAAGGAGTTTATTTTGCTGATTTCGATATTCTGATGTGCTTTTCGGCTTTATTTCTTTGAAAATTCCTACCATTTTTCAAGAATCACTAAAATGAAAAACTGCGATTTTTAGACTGTTTTAAAAATCCGAATTTGAAACTCAATTTTTGTAAATCTTGGTCTGGAGCGATCAACAGACTAAATTTTTCGTTTCAACTTGTCACGATATATATATCCAAAGATTTTTTCTGGATTTTTAAGTAACTTCGTCGAAAGCTCAATTTCTCAAGTTTGAAATTTTCGACAATTTCCTGAGCACTTTTGAAAATTATTTAGAGAGTTTCTTTGGTTGATATCAAGCTCCGGGATTGTTTTTCGGGTTAATGTTTTGGAAAATTTCTACAATTTTTCTAGAATCGGCAAAATAACATATCATAACAATTGAGATATTTTCAAAAATTGACTGAATTTGAAAAATTTAATATTTTGAAAATCTTGGTCAGCGACCATTAACAGGCTATATTTTTCAATCCAAATTGTCTACATTGCAGACTTTTTTATGAACGTTTAACCAATTTCGCCAAAAGCTCAGTTTTTCAATATATGAAATCCATGAAATTTTTACATTTTCCTGAGCACCATTCAAAATTATTTAAAGAGTTTATTTTGTTGATTTCGATATTCTGAAGTGCTTTTCGGCTTTATTTCTTTGAAAATTCCTATCATTTTTCTAGAATCACTAAAATGAAAAACTGCAATTTTTGGTATTTTTTTAAAATCCGAATTTGAAACTCAATTTCTGTAAATCTTGGTCTGGAGCGATCAGCAGACTAAATTTTTCGTTTCACCTTGTCACGATATATATATCCAAAGATTTTTTCTGGATTTTTAAGTAACTTCGTCGAAAGCTCAATTTTTCAAAAGCTTGAAGTTTTCGACAATTTCCTGAGCACTTTTGAAAATTATTTAAAGAGTTTCTTTGGTTGATATTAACCTCCGGGAGTGTTTTTCGGGTTAACTTCTTCGAAAATTTCTACAATTTTTCTAGAATCGGCAAAATAACATATCATAACAATTGAGAGATTTTCAAAAATTGACTGAATTTGAAAAATTTAATATTTCGAAAATCTTGGTCAGCGGCCATTAACAGACTATATTTTTCAATCCAAATTGTCTACATTACAGACTTTTTTATGAATTTTTAACCAATTTCGCCGAAAGCCCAGTTTCTCAATACATGAAATCCATGAAATTTTTACATTTTCCTGAGCACCATTCAAAATTATTTAAAGAGTTTATTTTGCTGATTTCGATATTCTGAAGTACTTTTCGGTTTAATTTCTTTGAAAATTCCTACCATTTTTCTAGAATCACTAAAATGAAAAACTGCAATTTTTGGAATTTTTTAAAAATCCGAATTTGAAAGTCAATTTTTGTAAATCTTGGTCTGGAGCGATCAACGGACTAAATTTTTCGTTTCAACTTGTCACGATATATATATCCAAAGATTTTTTCTGGATTTTTAAGTAACTTCTTCGAAAGCTCAATTTTTCAAAAGCTTGAAATTTTCGACAATTTCCTGAGTACTTTCGAAAATTATTTAAAGAGTTTCTTTGGTTGATATTAACCACCGGGAGTGTTTTTCGGGTTAATTTCTTCGAAAATTTCTACAATTTTTCTAGAATCGCCAAAATGACATATAATAATTGAGATATTTTCAAAAATTGACTGAATTTGAAAAATTTAATATTTCGAAAATCTTGGTCAGCGACCATCAACAGGCTATATTTTTCGATTCAGATTGTCTACATCCCAGAGTTTTTTACGAATTTTTAACCAATTTCGTCAAAAACTCAATTTTTCAATGTATGAAATCCATATTTTTTTTTGTTTTCCTAAACACCTTTCAAAATTATTTAAAGAATTTATTTTGTATATGTCGATATTCTGGGTTGTTTTTCGGCTTTATTTTTTTGAAAATTCCCACCATATTTCTAGAATCGCCAAAATGAAAAAGTCAATTTTTGGAATGCTTTAAAAATTCGAATTTGAAACTCAATTTTTGAAAATCTGGGTCTGGTACGATCAACAGATTGAATTTTTCGATTCAGCTTGTCACGATATACATCACAGGATTTTTTGTGGATCACTTCGTCGAAAGCTCCATTTTTCAAAAGCTTGAAATTTTCAACAATCCTTGGAGCACTTTCGAAAATTATTTAAAAAGTTTCTTTGGTTGATATCGACTTCCATGACTGTTTTTCGGGTTAATTTCTTCGAAAATTTCTACAATTTTCCTAGAATCGCCAAAATGACATATCGTAATAATTGAGATATTTTCAAAAATTGACTGAATTTGAAAAATTTAATATTTCGAAAATTTAGGTCAGCGACCATCAACAGGCTATATTTTTCGATTCAGATTGTCTACATCCCAGAGTTTTTTACAAATTTTTAACCAATTTCGTCAAAAGCTCAATTTTTCAATACATAAAATCCATAAAATTTTTTGTTCTCCTAAACACCTTTAAAAATTATTTAAAGAATTTATTTTGTATATGTCGATATTCTGCGTTGTTTTTCGGCTTTATTTCTTTGAAAATTCCCACCATATTTCTAGAATCGCCAAAATGAAAAAGTCAATTTTTGGAATGCTTTAAAAATTCGAATTTGATACTCAATTTTTGAAAATCTTGGTCTGGAACGATCAACAAACTGAATTTTTCGATTCAGCTTGTCACGTATATATATCCCAGAATTTTTTGTGGATTTTTAGGTAACTTCGACGAAAGCTCCATTTTTCAAAAGCTTGAAATTTTCAACAATTCTTTGAGCACTTTCGAAAATTATTTAAAGAGTTTCTTTGGTTGATATCGACTTCCATGACTGTTTTTCGGATTAATTTCTTCGAAAATTTCTGCAATTTTCCTAGAATCGCCAAAATAACATATCGTAATAATTGAGATATTTTCAAAAATTGACTGAATTTGAAAAATTTAATATTTCGAAAATTTAGGTCAGCGACCATCAACAGGCTATATTTTTCGATTCAGATTGTCTACATCCCAGAGTTTTTTACAAATTTTTAACCAATTTCGTCAAAAGCTCAATTTTTCAATACATGAAATCCATAAAATTTTTTGTTTTCCTCAACACCTTTCAAAATCATTTAAAGAATTTATTTTGTATATGTCGATATTCTGGGTTGTTTTTCGGCTTTATTTTTTTGAAAATTCTTACAATATTTCTAGAATCGCCAAAATGAAAAAGTCAATTTTTGGGATGCTTTAAAAATTCGAATTTGAAACTCAATTTTTGAAAATCTTGGTCTGGAACGATCAACAGACTGAATTTTTCGATTCAGCTTGTCACGATATATATATCTCAGGATTTTTTGTGGATTTTTATGTAACGTTTCTTTGGTTGGTATTAATCTATAGGAGTGATTTCGTCTTAGTTTCTTCGAACATTTTTACCATTTTCCTAGAATCGCCAAAATGACATCGCAATAGCTGAAATATTAAAAAAAAATAAATTGAATGTGAATATTTCTTAAATCTTAATCCAAGACCATCAACAGGTTGTGTTTTTCATTTGAGCTTTTCTAATTGAAAACAATCGAAATATTAAAATAATAGCAGCATCTGTAGGCCTGGAAAAGGTCGAAACTAGAGGTGGACGGAAGCAGGGTGGAGTATTAAGACCAACGTTACTTAAAATAGTGTTGGATGATATATGTATATAACGAAGACAATAAAAATAAAAGCTAAAAATTACAATAGTATGAAAGACTGAACAAATTTTATTTATAGTTATAGTGTAGTTTACATTAACGCGTATTGGTAAACTTAGAATTGAAGTATAATAATAATAATAATAATATTTCACAGGACAATAAATTTATAGTGGCTACAAAATTAACGTCCTTGGATTATTATTAATACTTGTATTTATTTTCGAAAAAACTCATTAAAACCTTTTTTATTGGGGTCGCCCGAATTACACTATCCCTTTTATTTTCCTCATAAATTCACAACGATAATGTATTTTTTATATATAAATATAAAAACAGTCACCATTAAACGATAATCGGCTAATCGCAGTCCGGCTAGTCCAAAATTAAACCTCCGCCTGCACCGACTCCGCATCGCGAGGGTTCCCTAAACACTAATAAGCATGACATTGCATGAAATCGCGATTTAAAGAGTTAAATAGGCAACAAAGGATTTATGCTCCGGATTAACACCCCCAAATTTGCTAAATGTATTCAGAGGCCGACTTTAAAGCCGGAGATTGATGAAGTTTTACCGCAGGTGGCTCTTGTCTGCAGATTTGTACACAATTAGATGAATGCACTCCTGACAAATCTGTGTGTTCCTGCACCGAGTACCGTGTTTGTGCGAAAGATGATCGATTTTTCATTTCTTTTTTTGCAGCGGCGGGATTAGGTCCGTTGTGTGGCATGTGTTGCAGACCCATTAACGATCGATTTCTTCTAAGGATAATGGACGTTTCGTATCACGAGCACTGTGTGCAGTGTTGTGCCTGCGGAGACCGCCTGCACCACACATGTTTCGTGAAGGACTCGAAATTGTATTGTAGACTGGATTATGATAGGTAAGTTTCGCTGTGTGAGTTTAGTGCGGATAAAGGCGGTGGCGCCTCCCGGAGGACTCCATTATCCGGATCTTAATAAGATTCCGATATATCTCAATGAAGGTTTCCCTATGCATTTCTGCACGACGTCTGCGAATTTCCCCCTGCATATATGTGTGGCACGGGATTAGAACTATCGCTGAAGAACGGCAGGCAGCATATTGCCAACCTCCCCCGATGCAATATGTTCCCGAACCGTCGCGTGTCATGGTTTATATTATTTGAGCCCCCGGAGCAAACTCTTTCATACAATGCTCGTGGAACAAAGAGTCGGCATTCCTTTATTTATAGCAGAAACAACAATAACAATTTCAAGAGAACGTTTGAAGAATGACTTTTTCGCAACATTGTTGGAAGATATGAGTATGGCACGAATTTGATTGGGACGGCGGGGTTTAACGGTGTACCTGCGTTGTTTATTACATTGCAGGGCTGATTTGTAGGGACACAAGTTTGTTCAAATATTTTTTGTAATATTGGACGATTCATTCTTTGTCGGTATTCATCGTCATCCAGTCTTATTGGTTTCCATATTGTCATTAAATGTTTCCTTCTAATCTTCTTTTTTTTATCTCAAAATCGAAAGAAATTTTATTAAGGTGTAGTATTTTTTCAAACTAATTCTAGCCGACACTAGTCTACACTTAAATTCACTTGTGTAATTGTACGAATCTTGGAAATTATTTTTTACAAAAACTCGTTACACTATTTTTGGACACAATTTAATGATCAAGATTGACTAAAATCGATATTAAAATATAAGATTTTTCAACTGTAAACGTATCGCTTCAGTTCGATTCTTATTTCTTACCATTTTTTCCTCATAATAATTACGTGTGTAAGGTAATTATCATTGACGACTAACTACTTCGAAAAGAAACCATAATGGGTTTCCGAGGGTCTTCCAAAGTATTTCAAAACAAAACAAAATGGTCCATCTGGAATCCTTCAAACTACTTCAAAAACTTAACATAAGAAGTTCTCGAGAATCTTTCAAATTACTGCGAAAACCGGACATAAGTGGATCAAAAACAAGACAAGGGAACTCCGAAATTCTTTAAAACTACTTCAAAACCAAGCACGAGTGGTCCTCGAGAATCTTTCAAATTACTTCTGCAACTTCAAAAAACAAATACAAGGGATCCACGAGATTCTTTCATATTATTTAGAAAAACGACGTACATGGTCCCCGAGATTCTACTTCATTGACAAAACTAAAGGAGTACCAGAAATTTTTTCAAACTAGTTTAAAAAACAGCCACAAGGGGTCCAAAATTCCTACAAGGTACTTCAAAAACAAAACAAAAGGAGCCATCGAGATTCTTCCAAACTATTTCAAAAACTTGACATAAGAAGTCCCTGCGATTCTTTCTAATTACTTCAAAAATTGGATATAAGAAGTCAAATCACTTCTAAAACAAGATAAAAGGCAACCCCGAGATTCTTTCAAACTACTTCAAAATTATCCCCGAGATTTTTTCACAAACACACGCAATACGGGAGATTGTTTTCAAATTATATACTTCAAAAACCAAACACAATTACTTGAAAAACACGACACAAGTAGTTCCCGAGATTCTTTTAAATTACTTCAAAAACTGAACATAAGAAGTCCCTGAGATTCTTTCAGATTACTTCAAAACAAAACACAAGGGGTTTCCGAGACTATTTCAAATTATTTTAAAATCATACACAAGGAGTTTCCGAGATTTTTTCAAACTATTTCAGCAACAAAACATAGAAGTGTCTTCGAGATACTTTCAAATTTTTCGAAAACAAAACACATAAGAGGTCCCCCATATTCTTCCAAACTACTTCGAAATCCAAACATAAGGTAACTCTGAGATTTTCCCAAACTACTTTAAAAAGACGCACAAGAGGTTCCCGAGATTCTTTCAAACTACTTCAAAAACCGAACATACGAAGTCCCCGAGATTCTTTCAAACTATTTACTTCAAAAACCGGACATAAGTGCTTCCCGAGATTCTTTCAAAGTACTCCGAAAACCAAACACAAGGTTACTCTGAAATTCGCTTAAACTACTTCAAAAACAAAACAAAAGGGGCTTCCGAGATTTTATCAAACTACTTCAAAAACCAGACACAAGTGGTCCCCGACATTCTTTCCAATTACTTCAAAAACCGGACATAAATAGTCCCCGATATTCTTTCAAACAACTCCGAAACCGGACATAAATGGTCTCCGAGATTCTCTGAAAACTATGTACTTCGAAAACCAGACAGAAGGTAACTCTGAGATTCTCTCAAAGCATTTCAAGAACAAAACACAAGAGGTCCACCAGATTCTTCCAAATTGCTTAAAAAACCGGGCTTAAGAAGTTCGCGGGATCCTTTCAAATTAATTCAAAAACTGAAGACACGTGATCCGCGAAATACTTTCAAATTACTTAAAAAACCAGATATAAGAAGTCCGCTAAATTCTGTCAAATTACTTCTAAAACAAAACAGAAAATGTACCTGAGATTCTTTTAAATTACTTCAAAAACCAGATAAAATTTGTTCTCGAGATTCTTTCAAACTACTTCAATTTTGTCACAAACACAAGGGATACGGGAGATCTTTTTCAAATTATGTACTTCAAAAACCAAACACAATTACTTGAAAAACACGACACAAGTAGTTCCCGAGATTCTTTCAAACTACTTCAAAAACTGAACATAAGAAGTCCCTGAGATTCTTTCAAATTACTTCAAAACAAAACACAAGGGGTTTCCGAGACTATTACAAATTATTTCAAAACCATACACAAGGAGTCTCCGAGATTTTTTCAAACTACTTCAGCAACAAAACACAGAAGTGTCGTCGAGATACTTTCAAACTTTTTCGAAAACAAAGCAAAAGAGATCACCGAGATCCTCAAATTATTTCAAAAACAAAAAACAAGTGGTCCTCTAAATTCTTTCAAATAACTTCAAAAACTGCACTCCCCGATATTCTTCCAAACTACTTCGAAATCCAAAGATAGGGTAACTCTGAGATTCTCCCAAACTACTTTAAAAAGACACACACGAGATCCCCGAGATTCTTTCAAATTACTTCAAAAACCGAACATACGAGATTCTTTCAAACTACTTCAAAAACCGCACATAAGTGCTTCCCGAGATTCTTTCAAAGTACTCGGGAAACCAAACACAAGGTAACTCTGAAATTCGCTTAAACTATTTCAAAAACAAAACAAAAGGGGTTTCCGAGATTCTTTCAAACTACTTCAAAAACCAAACATAAGTGGTCCGTGGTCCCCGACATTCTTTCCAATTACTTCAAAAACCGGACATAATGGTCCCCGATATTTTTTCAAACAACTTCAAAACCGGACGCAAATGGTCTCCGAGATTCTCTCAAACTATTTTAAGAACAAAACACAAGAGGTCCGCCAGATTCTTCCACCCTGCTTAAAAACCGGACTTAAGAAGTTCGCGAGATCCTTTTCAAATTACTTCAAAAACTGAAGACATGTGATCCCCGAAATTCTTTCAAATTACTTCAAAAACCAGATATAAGAGGTCCGCTAGATTCTCTCAAATTACTTCTAAAACAAAACAGAAGATGTACCTGAGATTCTTTTAAATTGCTTCAAAAACCAGATAAAATTTGTTCTCGAGATTCTTTCAAACTACCTCAAAAACCAAACATAAGGGGTCCTCGAGCTTCTTTCAAACTACTTCAAAAACAAAAGACGGGATCCCCGAGATTCTTTCCAATTACTTCCAAAACAAATCACAAAGACCACCGAGATTTTCAGATTACTTCAAAAACAGAAGAAAAGTGATCCCCGAAATTCTTCAAAAACCGGACGTAAGACGTCGCCGAGATTCTTTCAAAGTACTCCGAAAACCAAACACAAGGTATCTCTGAGATTCTCTCAAACTACTTCAAAAACAAAACACAACAGGTCACCGAGATTCTTTCGAACTACTTCAATAATCGAATATAAGAGATCTCCTAGATTCTCTCAAATTACTTCTAAAACAAAACTAAAGGAGTACCCGAGATTCTTTCAAATTACTTCAAAACAAAGCACAAGGGGTTTCCGAGAATCTTTCAAACTACTTCAAAAACCAGACACAAGGGTTCTCCGAGATTCTTTCGAACTACTTCAGAAATAAAACAAAAGGGGTACTGGAGATTTTTTCAAACTACTTCACAAAAAACGCAGGGTGTCCTCGACATACTTCAACCTACTTCAAAAACAAAACACAAGACATAACCGAGATTCTGAAATTACTTCAAAAACAAAAGACAAATGGTCCCCGAAATTCTTTCAAATTACTTTGAAAACTGGATAGAAGACGTCTCCGAGATTCTTTCAAATTACTTCAGAAACCGGACATAAATGGTCATCGAGATTTTTTCAAACTACTTCAAAAACAAAAGGAAAGGTGCCAAGAAGATTTTTTATACTACTGCAAAAACAAAACACAGGGGGTCGTAGAGATTCAAATTACTTCGAGAACAAAACACAAGAGGTCGCCGAGATTATCAAATTACTTCAAAAACAAAAGATAAATGGTCCCCAAATTCTTCAAAAACCGGACGTAAGAGGTCCCCGAGATTCCTTCAAATTACTTCAAAAACCGGACATAAATGGCCTTCAAGATTCTCTCAAAACTACTTCGAAAACTAGACACAAGGTAACTCTGAGATTCAAATTACTCCAAAAAAAAAAAAAAACACAAGAGGTCTGCCAGATTCTTTCAAACTATGTACTTAAAAAACTGAGCATAAAAAGGTCGAGAGATTCTTTCAAAATACTTCAAAAACCGGATATAAGTGGTCCCTAGATTCTCTCAAATTACTTCAAAAACAAAACACAAGAGGTCCCCGAGATCCTTTCAAATTACTTCAAAAATCGGATATAAGAGGTCCCCTAGATTCTCTCAAATTATTTCTAAAACAAAACAAAAGATATACCCGAGGTTATTTCATACTAAATACTTCAAA